TTTAATTGGAGAAAAGCTAAAGGAGTTATTTGCGACCGTACGGTGCCTAATAAACTTAAAGGAAAGTTTTATCGCACTGCTATCAGACCAGCAATGTTATATAGTAGTGAATGCTGGGCTCTAACGGGACAACAAGAGCATAAAGTTGGAGTAGCAGAGATGAGAATGTTACGATGGATGTGCGGACATACACGTAAAGATAAAATTCGAAATGAGCACATACGCGAAAAAGTGAGGGTAGCACCTATTGAGGAAAAAATGGTAGAAAATCGGTTGACATGGTTTGGACATGTATAAAGAAGACTAAGGGAGGCACCAGTGAGAAGAGTGGAACATATAACTTTGAGTCCGATTAAGAGGGGTAGAGGAAGGCCTAAGAGAACACTCTTGGAAGTTGTTGAATGTGATCTCTTAATTAATAATATTCCTAAAAGCTTGATAAATGATAGAGCACAATGGCGTCTTGCAATCCATGTAGCCGACCCCACCTAGTGGGATAAAAGCTTGTTGTTGTTGTTGTTGTTATACCATTTAAACATCTGCTATCATGAATACGATAAAATTACTCTAGGCAAAAGAGACCATGGCCTCAAACAAATCCATTCAATTCTAAACCAAATTAACTCAAATTGTTCCACATCAATAAACATGTATTGCTTATAGCCAAAAGGAACTGTAAGGGTGCCCTTACTAATCCACAAAATTTTCCAAAGTCAAGGTAATAATGGGACTAACCCAAGTGAATTAAGAAGTTTGTAAAATTTATATAAATGAAATCCCAAGTTTTTAAAACTTAACATGCTAAAAAATCATTTCATAAACCAAAATTAGAGAAAAAAATGTATACAAAAGTATGGATATCATACAAGATAAGATAACATCAAATTGGGCTTAAAAGAGCCAAAATTGTGATTCTGCCATAATATGTAGCAACATAAAATGCAGAGGCCCATGACAGCAAAAAGTTATAATGGCAAATTTTTTTATTGAAATTCCGACGCATCCTAAATCTTCCCCCGATATCCGATTAAGGTGATCTAAGTGTCTAAAAAAAGTTTTCTTTGATCTATAGCCAATGGTATTGATTTCACATTTAAATTATTTCTCAATCAAAAGTTGGACACCAACATGCAAACTCACCCATTTATGCTTTCAAAACATAACTAGAGTATCCAAAATCACAACTAAGTGCCATAAGCTCATAACTATCCTTAGACCACACTTAATAGACTTTTTAGGACTCATGCAACACACTATACTAAACCAAAAAATATATAAATCATAAATTCATCACTTAACCCCGTAACACATAAAACACAAGGGGATGAATTTCTTGCACAACAATCATTTTCATTCCAAATCAGTCAAAATACACATATTCTTACTTGGACAAGTATTTTAGCCCTAGACTAGGGTTTACAACCAAAACTCACTAACCCAGAACACAAAATACACAAGTGTGATACAATAATAATGCAAGTAGTATAAAAATATTTATGTGAATCCTAGTTGGTAAGTTAATAATCTTAATACACATAAAACAACATAGAGGTATACAAAGGATTACTCTACAATCTTATGCCTTGACATGTTTTTCATGATCTTGATCTAATAAGCTAGACCCTGAAAATATTGAGAATTGAGGGGTGAGTACAACCACTCAATAACTAAGTTTTGCCCAATTTATACAGTTGCGTATCAATTGAAAATGGATGCAATTGAAAATAAACACATACATAAAGCATGTGTGACAATATATAGCCTTAGCCACAATAATGACAATTATGTGACCGAGTTTCAAACACATAATCATCTACATATCAATGAAGCACAATCTTGGGTCACAATAATACTAACCATGCACCCCTAAACTGCATCGGATCACAATATTAACAACCATTTGGTTGAGACAAAATACATGATCATATGCCAACCTTATACTCTCCTGTTACCTCTAACATGAAACTGGTAGCTATTTGATGGTTACATCTTTCATGGACTAACCTAACTTTTTACTTGTGAAGAGCTACTAGGCCAAAGTCAATTCACTCACTTGTATAATCTGGTTTCCCCAATATTAATAACCATGTGTTGTCGTATCTCTAATCTAGCCTCTTCATAAACTAATGGAGACTAGTTAGGTTTAAGTCTCTCATAGAATAAATGGGACAATCTCGAATCAACCATAAGACAAGAGCTACCTCCTGATTCCAACTGTCAGTACCAAGGCAAGCTCTCGATTCCAACAATCACTACTAATACCACGTGGGTTTACTTAACTACTTATCTTCTTAGGCTAACTCCTGTTAATGATCATGTTATGCATGTATATCATATATGTATATGCATTCTAATCAATCATTCATATCATGAATTCATATATCCATACTCACACCACACACCAACTAATATATAATTACAATTTCTCATTCATCATTACTATTAGCGTATACATGAACATACATATAATTTGCAACAACCATGCTAAATTTGTATCATGAGTTTAAAAATATTAAACATGTTTCGAATCAACCATTTCAACAAATAATCAATTAATATTCAACTATATAAACTAGGTTTTCTCCAGCTATCTTAAACCTTTGGAAGGTTAAAGGTTTACATTTCAATAAAAGTTCTTCTCAAGCTATACCAAAGCTTGAATGATGCATAAGATAATTGATCTACAATTAATTATACTAATCATTAATAAAATCATCATAAACACTCTTCCAACTTCTATTAATCAACGCTTTAATTACCCAAAATTTCAATATCTTGTACTTAAGCATAACCATTACTTTTATTAATTTTCATTAACTCCATTTAGCTTTCATTAACTAAAATAATCACTAATATAACATCCAACAATCCAAAATCACACTTTAAAGGTCTAGAATTCATCCAAAATGGATGACTCAAGCTTACAACCTTGTAAAAACTTTTAAACTATGTGTAGAATACTTAAACAACTCCCATTAGTACCATTTAAACCAATGGGTTCGGACCCATAGTCTTAAATCTAAAAATTATCATCTCCTAACCTTAAATCTCACTTTCAAATGTGTAGAGGGAAGAAGAAGAGATAAAGAAGGTATATATAAGTAAAACTAAGCTTTAAGTACCTCCAAAATACCTAAAAGTTGATGCCTTAGCAGAGAAAATACTCATTTGGTCGCCTCCTCACTGTTTCTAGTCTCACTCTCTATTTTTTAGACTGATTTCACATTTTAAAAAAACTAATTTAGGGAATTATGCTGCGGCATAAATTTTTATGCGATAGCATAACACATAGTGAACTAAAATCCAACTTTTCTTTACAATTTGAGTTCGCGTGACTTAATTTACTTTGAATTAATCTAAAAGCTAAAGCCAAACCCAAGAGTTGTCTCTAACTATCCTCAAACCCAATTATACTAAATTTTCATAATCGCCCTTCATTAGATTAATAATCATGGAAAATTTTTTTGGAATGTTACAGGAAACCACCTCGAATCATCCATAACTTTACTAGCAAAAGAATTAACTACACTTGCAAGAACAAAGCAGAGGCAATACTATAAGAATTTAATCCTCATCAAAGAAATACTCTTCAAATCTAGTAGAATGTAGTTTGCAAGAAATTCAAATGGAGACTCATGAATATGAGATTTCAAATCATTAAAAATAATCAACTCATCCATTTCTACTAGATTCAAGTGTTTAGATAAAGGTACCCAGTCAAACCATGATAGATTAATCAAATGAACAAGAATTTGCTTGCAATGATTTTCAAGAAACATCAATAAAGTATACAAGGAAAAAGCATACCACACAAACGAGCCAAAAACTAGATAAAACCAATTAATGAAGACTTGTATCTGAGCAAAATTAGAGACCCCCAACCTTAAAATATTCATTGCAGAATGAGTATCTTTGAGGAAATTATTTCGTGACTGGACCAACGTTATCTCAGGAATGCTCATCATCTTCATTACTAAAGACATTGAGGAAGCTAAGCACTCCAACAATGACAAAGACCAAATTTTCATTCACCTTATTAAATCAAGAGGCACCCATCGTAAGTCACCATCACCACCCCTACAATCATGATTCACAAACCAGAGTAGATTAGCCATGATTGACAAACGATTCCCCTTCTTCTATTCCATAAATTCATTTGATTCAAGCCCCGTCAACATTTCTACCATCGTTACTTCAATCATCAACCCCATTATCCTCAGATCTACCCTTTCTCCATGAGCATGATCGTAAAAATAAACATCCCAATCTCAATTGTACAACTACCACCTCTATTAGTGATGGAGCCACTGAACCCATCACTCCCAAAATCACCTTCCCGAACCACTGTATTCTCACCATCAACCAACGCCCCCAACTCACGCACATGCTCCACCATATCACTCCCCGACAATCGCTGCAAAGCAAAGTAGCAAAGATTGCCACCACCAAGAGCAGAGGAAACCCTCCTTAATAGAGAGACTCTCACAAAAAGGGGGGAAACCCTAGAGGTTTTAGAGAACCACATTGCCCTCAGCGTTCTTGTGCCATTAAACATCCTCCATGAAATTGATTCTCAATTTTTAAGCTTTTTCATTAAGAAAAAGGCTGAGCTGACATTTGTTGCGAAATAACTTATTTAAGCAACATGGATTGCACTTGAAACTTAATTTAAATTAATTATGATTATGATTGAAGTACATTAATAAATTTAATGAGAATTATTGATGCAGTAACATGCAGTTTAACATAACTAGAAACCTCTAAACTATATATTAATTTACATGCACTTGTTAATTGTTATAAATAATTAATCCAAGGGTTAAGTAAAGTAATTAATTTTTGGGAAATTAGGTAAAATCACTTGATTAACTAATTAACTATTAAGTAATTTAAACACTCGAATGAGAAAATTAGACGCAAGATACTAATCAAAACATGAATAAACCATAAATTTATTGACCTAAATATTTTTTAATCAGCAGAAGTTTTGTCCGGTTATGTCCTGTGCAGGCGTGAGGTAAATCCATGAGAAACCTAGCCTCTGAAACTTTTGAGGCTTCGAACAGTTTATCTTCCCCCTGCTTGTCCAAGCAACCCCCGATCTACAAGAAACTGAGTGGTGTTTTCGCCGGACATTTACGTCTGAGGCTCGTCGGCGACGAGAATTTTGTCTACCATCTTCCTGTCTTTTGCGATTCAATCAGCCGCCTATAACTCGAAGCTGTGATAGATGTATAGCCATCGACCAGATCTGCTTCCATTGCTATTAACAACGGAAGCTCAAAGCTTCTTCCTTACCTTCATCGTTTCCATCACCTTCGGTCCTCCTAATCGCTCCGTCGAATCACCCCTCAATCTCTTTCGGTATTTGCCACGTTTCGAGAATGTGACGCTATTATAGGCATTTGAGGAATAACACGTCTCTATTCACCTGTCAGCTGGAGGTCGTGTTACTGACAGCCATGGTTTAGAAACGGAAACAGTATGCGCGTGTCCCTCTTTTATCTCTCTTCAATTTCGCTCATTACTTCTTAACTTTACGCATTTGCTATTCTGTTCGTACTTATCTGATATTGATGTTGATTAGGCCTTATTATTGGTATGGCACTGGTTGTTTTTTGTTTTGAGTTTGTTACAAGTTCTCTAATACACTCTTCACAAGCAGATGGATTTTTTTTTTTTTTGGGGGTTAAGAACCAACGAGCATGTTACATTTTTAAGGGGCTGTTGATAAAAATCATTTAATCGTAGTTTTCGCTTAGTTTTATCCTTTCTCAACCGAACGAGAATGCTGTAGGCTTCTAGTTGAAATTTATTGATGCGTATTTGTTATCGGGAAACAACTAGACACTCTCGTGGTTACAAAATTGTTTGATGGAGTTCAGCATTTTAGACAGAACTTTCGATTATATACGCTCTAATTCCTCTTTGCTCGTTGGCGCAGAAAATTCAAGGAATCTGACGAGCAAACTCATACTTGGTAGTAGATCAAATTTCTTGTTTCATGTTTTAATTTTCTTCCCAATTTTGCCTAGTTTATGTTACCTTTCAATTCACTACTCTGTATCAGTTGGTATTTCTTTGGAAGAATTATGTTGAAGTATCACATAAGAAAATTAATTAAAGCTATTGACAATACTACCCTATTTTTTCCCCACATTGCATACTGCCCTGTTGCTGATCGGAGATGCTTTCAGCAAGATGGTTTTTGAACTAGTCTATTTTTATAAAGCTAGGCCGGAAGGCAAAAACTCAGAAAGGGGGAATCATTAGCAATCATTGTCCAAGATACGTAACAGAGTAACACTGTCTGAAATAGCAAATATGCATACAATTAAAGATAGCCGGAAGTCAAAATTTTTCATTCGAAGATCCTAGGTAATGTTTGGTAGGCAGGATTGAGAAAGTAGGACTGGGTTTGGGATTGAATAATGCCAAGTTTTTGTGTTTAGTAGGTGAGAATGACAAATTTATTCTCAAACCCAATCCCAAAGGTGAGAATATCCAGTACCACCTACTCGATGGTATTGGAAAATCAAACTAGGATTGAAAATTTTCAGACCATGAACCAGATATAGATCTGAGAGCCTCCCACGAACAATAACAGAGGATGTAACTAAGTAGACTCTAACGCACTCCTGATTCATTCATACTTGAGTTCATTCACTATTTCATCTTCACCTTGTTCATAAGGAATATTTTATATCAAAGGCCAACCATGTTTGAAAGCCTTGAGATAATTAGAAAGTTGTTAATTACTTAAAAAAAAAAAAATCTATGATCGTTTGGTGAAACTAAACCAGAAACTTGATAGCCCTGTTTCCTCCAATAATTGATCTGCCTTCTGTACTTCTGAATGTGTGAAAAGAGCAAGCCTGGAATAAGGAAAATAGAAACCTAAAATCTCAAGTTTAAAGTCATTTTATAATCTTCATTTAGAGTTGGGAAATTTTAGGAAACAGAGCAACTGGGACTTTCCACAAGTTCATTATACTTGTTTAGTGAGTCCTTAAATTACGAAATGCTAGTCAATATGGAATGGTTTATTTTGGTATACGTAATTTAGCCGACATGGTATCATTACTATCAGCTAGATTTTCATTATCAAGGATTCTTGAAGTTAAAAAGTACGGCCATTTTCAATGTAGTTTAAAAACAAAGGGGGAAAGTGAGCAGCTCTTTCCTGATTTTGGTGGCCATGACTGTTCATTTTATTTTTCATGTGCTAATGAATAGTGCATTAACATTAGGGTATTTTCTTCCTGAGAAAGCAGAAAATGAATCAGCTTGGTGCTATAACCTAGAGAGTTAACAATGGAAGTGTATAGGTTATTGCTCACCTCCTTCATCAGCTTTTCCTTCTTCTTCCTTTCCTCATTCCCACTTTCCCTTTCTCAACCAGACAATGCATATTGGGACTGCTATTCTCCTTTCAATTGTGGAAAACTAAATTCTAGCTATCCTTTCTGGTCCCAAGATCGACGTCTTTATTCTTATCCTCCTCCCTGCTTTTAACCCCCTAACGGGTTCTGGCTCAATTGGCCGGAAAAGGAGGTTGCACTCCCTTCCATTCAAATTGGCTACCAGAATTTCAAGATCTGATCGATTGACCAGGTCGCTTACAACATGACATTCGTGTGAATTGACCATGTGTATGACAATTGTTCTTCAGAATTATCCAACACTATCTTGAGCAGTCACTACAATTATGATCCAAACGTGAAGATGGTGACCCTATTCTATGATTGTCCCCAAGGCATTTCGAATGGCAGCAATAACTTCACATGCCAGCATTCATCTTACACTGATTCTGGTAAGTTGGTGTTCTTCTTTGAACAAGACGATGGTCTGTTGCGGCAATTCCAAAAACTCCACCATTATGGGCGTATTATTCAAGCGCTGGTTTCAAAAGAAACTGATCTGGATCCTCAAGGTAGCATTCAAGCCCTTACAATAGCTCTGCATAAAGGGTTTGGTGTGACGTATGCATATGGTGTGGTTGAACCTTGTGGAACATGCATCAAATCTAAAGGAGTATGCTTGTGGGATAATGTGACTCCATTTTATTGTCTTTACGAGGATGGATTTCATCCTCTCAAATGTTCTGATTCTTCCAATACGTGCTTCTTCACCACCTTTACCCATTTTTATTATCTCTACATTTTCACTCGTTACTTTGCCAAATTTATACCACTATTATTGCATATTAGTTTATAATGCGTTTTTTTAGGCAATTTATTCGATGTACAAGCTCCATGGACTTGTTTGGTAAATTTTACGTCATTTTTGCTTCTCAATTTTACTTGAAGAGTCATTAGGCGCTTTAAATTTAATAATGAGTCAATTTTGTCTTTTAACATAAAAAAATTTCCTTACTCATCATCCTGAAATTAAAAATGCCTAATGTCCATTTGTCATCAGTGGATCCCACCATTTTTAATTATTGTTTTATTTTTTTTATTAGGTTAAGAGTTATTTTTGCCCCTTAATTTTTACTTGAAGAGTTAGTAGGCGCATCAACTCAAATATTTTATGATTAAAAATATTTAAAAAAGAATATAATATGAGGCTCACTAGTGGTGAATATACAGTGAGATATCGATAAGGTGATAAGAAAGAGAATCTTTTAATATTAAGGGACATAATTAACCCATAATTGAATTTAGAATGTCAAGTGATCCTTTGGGTAAAGTTAAAGGACAAAAATGATTCTTAACTCTTTTTTCAATTATTGTCAACATTCTTTTAAACCCATTTTATTTTTATTTTTCAGTTTCATTTACTTTTTTGTCATTCCATTTTCATCAAATGCTTTGCGAATTAAATAGGGCCAAATGTGAACACCTTTCTTTGATAGGATTGGTACTCACATTTTGAGCAGGATTCATACTCATGTTGAGTTACACTGGATTTGGGATGTCTATAGCATTTTTTGCTGTCTTATTAGATAAAATTTCTTTAATCTTTAGCTGAAATGAAGGGTTAAGATGGATAGCAAAGGGTCCAACAAGACAATTGCACCCTTCCTGTTGGTAGTTTAGAATGTGGTTTTTAAGCAGGAAATGAAAACAATGATTCAAGTCGACTTGCTTTTATGTGTGAGACTAGGTTCCCCAATTTCCTACAAAGTTTCATTCTTCTTAATATTATTAAAGCCAAGTTGCTTTTCTCTATTGGACTATCAATGCTCAATCATCCAAACACAGAAACAACCCACATCCATAATTGATCAGCTTTTGAAAACCATGAAAGTCTTCTTCAACTATGGATTTGGCTGACATTATGAACCATGCCCTAAATAAGCTAGGCTATTCATAACCATGCTTCCAGGAACCAAGAAATTAACTGCACTCAGGGAACTTATGTCTACTTTTTCAAATGTTTTCTAATGCCCTTTAGAACGAACATATATTGAACAAACATTTAAAAAGAAAAACTTTTTCTTAGTTTAACCTTTAATCAAATTTTTGAAGCGTGTATTATCAAGAAAATTAGAGAAACCAAACGTTCATATATCACAGTTACATGATTGAGTTTGACACTTTATACAACTACAGATTACCTAATTTTATTTCTCTTGCTCATATTTGCAGGGGAAACAAAACTTATAGCTAGCTAGGTAATGTATCATACTTCCTCCCCCCCCTTACCCCAATAATTTTCATTATAATTGTTCATAGAACTTATTATCTTTTAATCTAACACTCCATATAAGTTGTTATATATTTTCTTACCACTTTTCATACTTACCAATTTTAACGCTGTTTCTCTGGCATGCTTTTTCCTTTTATGGACATCTGGGTAAAGAAGAGGAGGAATCCTTAGGCTCCCATTGGAATATATCTTAAACCTGTAATTTGAGAAGAATACCTTTCAAATTTGGTTTTAGGGAAAAAGAAATTGACTAGAAATAGGCACATGTTGCTTATCTCCTAACCATACTAGTGGGCTTAAACATGGTTTGAAAAAAAAATTACAATGTTTGTTATAACGTTTGTAATTATATCCCTCTCTGTGTGTTATTCATTTAAAAAGTTTAAACCATGGACAAAAAATGGCGCTCTCTCTCTCACCTAAGATTCCCTTAATGCAACAGCACCCTGCTCTGTCGGAGGAAGGGGATGATCAACTTGCGTAGAGCTTTAAAAAGATGAAAAACGTTAGTGTTATGGTGGACAACAATCTAGACCATAACCAATGGCCAAAGCTAGGGGGAAAAACTCAGAAGGAAATCCTAGGTAAACCTTCTTTTGTCGATAAACTGAAAGGAAAGGTTGTAGAAGGTGATTCTTTAGACGAGATGGAAGATGATTCTGGAGTTTATGGAGAGACATAACAAGAAGCAAAACCAGATTTTAAAATCATAGAAGACTTGAAGCAGAACTTTCCAACATTTGTCTTCTCCTAAAAAATGAAGAAGAAACTTTACAGGTCATGGAGGAAGGCTATCATAGTTAAGCTCCTTGACAGAACGATAGGGTTTAAAGCCTTGGAAATCAGATTGTAGACTATATGGGCAAAGAAAGGAGTGATTAAACTCATCAATTGGCTTTGATTACTATGTGGTCAAACTCTCAAACAAGGAAGACTACTTTAACGCTTTGACAGGAGGACCATGGATGATCTATGATCATTACCTAACTGTTAGGCCATGGGAAGCAATGTTTAAGCCTCAGAGTGCGATTATTGATAAGGTAGCGTGCTAGGTAAGAGTTCCAAGAGTATTTTTAGAATACTACAATGATGAAGCTCTTTAAGTTTATTGGTGACGGGATCGGTCAGTGCTTAAAGGTGAATATTCATACTTCAAACCACCTGAGAGGGCACTTTGCTCGTATTTGTGTGTTAGTTAATCTTAGCAAGCAGCTCATTTCTAGTTTTCATCTTGATGGAGAAGATTACTATGTGGATTATGAAGGATTACACTTATTATGCTCTTGTGGCGTTTATGGCCATAGATCGGAGATCTGTCTAGAAAAACATACCCCAACTTCAAATGGTGAAAAATCTGAGCGGATTAACATAACTATGGAGAAGGAAATAGGGGCGCCAAATCAGAATATGATTGTCAATAACCAAGATCAATGGAAGGTAGTCCAAAATCAAGATGACAGAGGAAAGAGAAAAATAAGGCTGTTGAAACCTCCCACCGGGATCCTTCAAGTTCACATTTTGGAGTATTAGGGGATGTCAATGAAGTGTATGGGGAAGAAGATCATAATACTGCTCATTTAATGCAAGCGGCATGTTCAGAAACAAGGGTCCCACAAGTTGGGAATAAACAAAAGGAAAATAAAAAAGCAAACAGGTCGAGAAACATTGAAGAGGATATTGATTTGGACGTTATCGCCAAGGGTTAGAAGATCAGAAGCAAAAAGTTGACGTGCATCAACAGGTATAGGATTGTATGCAACAAAAGATGACACAGCAGGTGCATAACGAGGCTACACACCAGGGGATAGAAAAGAGGCGAGTGGAGAAAAGGACAAGAGAAATGGCGAGGCAATATGTGAAAAGCGGTGAAGTGCTTATGCTAACGTCGGAAGAAAGTGAAAAAGAGATGGAGGCCTAAAATGATCTAACATTGGACGCCCTCAATGAAGTCCAATTATCCCTTAGATCAAGAATTTGGGGGTTAAAGGAAATGGACCCAGGTGAAGGTAATGGGCTAGTCCAATGCCCAATGAGTTCATTGCATAGCCCAAGCTTTCAATCTGTTGAGACTATGGTACCGGAAACTCAATATCCCATGGTTCAATGATATGTTGTTTTTTGATATATCATTATTATATATGAATAACATCATATATTGCAAGTTTCGAGGGGCTTGTGATATAAGCCTCATCCAGAACCTTAAAGCTGTGACTAGTGGCCCAAGACCCAATCTCCTAGTGTTAACTGAAACTCGATGTTCTGATGAGAACAACTTCACTAGACTACGCTCTCTTGGATTTGACTCCTTCAAGATGATTCTAAGTGTGGGAAGATCAAGAGGGATAGTTACTGCTTGGAGGAGTAATTTGGTGAATATCTCTATCCTACAAGAAGATTGTTAGTTTATCCATCTTCGATATTGCTTAGGAGACCAACCGAACTTGCTTTGTATGGTCATCTACGCACTTCCTCACTCAAACTTTAGGGACTTGTTGTGGGAAAAATTGAGCAATATTGCTTCTACAATCAATGGTCCGTTGCTAGTCTGTGGTGACTTCAACGATATTCTCTCATCTACTGAAAGAATAGGAGGTGCGAGAGGTAACTAACCATTTCAGATGGTTTCAACAGCACTTGGATGATTGCAATTTATCAGATCTAGGGGCTTCAAGATTGAAATTTACTTGGAGAGGGCTGCGGGTTCATGGTTTTTCTCGGCTTTTTGAAAGATTGGATAGGGCAGTAGCTAATAATTATTTCTTCAATTGCTTCACAAATTGCGTGGTTCAAGTACTTGCTCGCACAAGGTGCTGAGATCATAACCCAATTCTTATTAAGTTAAACAATCGTGGTTTCAATCTGGGATTAAAACCCTTTAGGTTTGAAGCTATGTGGCTGGCCCACGATAACTTTAAGGAATTCCTAAAGGAAAATTGGAAGGAGGGGAATGATTTAAACTCAATGCTTTCTGATTTCAAAGACTCAGTTCTATCTTGGAATAAGGAGGTCTTTGGCTTGGTTGAGAAGACTAAGAATGAATCATTAGCTCACTTGCGGGGAATCCAGAACTCAAATTCCTACCCTTATTCAAATTTTCTAGTCAATTTAGAAAAAAGATTGCAAAAGGAATTGGATGTATTGTTAAATTTAGAGGAGATGAAATGGTTCCAAAAAGCAAAAACTGAGTGGATTAAGAGTGGTGATAGGAATACCCGTTACTATCACTTGAAGTCAAACTTTAGAAGAAAAAGGAATAGGATTGTTACTTTAAAATATGAGAATGGAAGATGGATTTAGGAGGAAGAGGAATTGAAGGACTAGGTAGTTGATGCCTTCAAGAAGTTACATCAAGAAAATAGGGAAGTTCCGGAACAGCTTAATACTTCTACCTCCTTCCCCAAGCTGGACCCAAATAGATTTGAGGTTTTAGAGGCAATTCCATCCGATGAGGAAATCAAGGAAGCCATTTTCTCGATTGGCCCGTATAAGGCTCCTGGTTATAATGGCTATGCTCTAATATTCTATCAGACTAACTAGTGTATTGTGGGTCAAACTCTCTGTAAGTATATTAAAGATGTTTTTTAAGGGTGAAAACTTAGTGGCTGAGGCAAATAAGGCATTGATTTCATTAATCCCTAAGCGGAGACAACCTAAGATGGTGGGCCACTTTAGACCCATTTCTTTATGCTCCACCCACTACAAATGTGTGACCAAGATCTTGACTAGAAGAATGAGAAACATGATGGATGACCTTATTTCTCCATACCAGTCCAGCTTTGTCCCTGGGAGACACATTCGAGATAATCTTGTCATTGGACAAGAAATAATGCACATTATGAAGAAAGCTATAAGCAAGAAGGGCTTCATGGCTATGAAAATCGACCTTGAACAAGCCTATGATTGTATCTGGTAGGACTTCCTCCAATCTGTGCTTGTGGAGGCAGGAATGGATAAGGTATTTACTAATTTGGTGAACTGTGTAACTTCTACTTCTTATAATGTGTTGTGGAATGGGTTACAAACTGAATATTTCTTTCCTCATGAAGGCCTCCGACAGGGGGACCCTATATCACCTTATCTGTTTGTTTTGTGTTTAGATAGGCTATCACATATCATCACTGATGCAGTGAGTAGTGGTGACTGAAACCATTCATATAATGCAATTTGGCCCATCAATCTGTTTGGTGAAGCTATGGAGGATCAAGCAAGGATAATGATGCAATGTATGAGCAAGTTTGTGCTGCCTCTGGTGAACGTGTTAGCATCAACGAATCCTCAATTTCCCTTTCCCATAATGTGAAAGCTAATCTAAAGGCTAAAATTAAGAACATTACAGGGATGAAATGGAATAATGAGATTGGTAGATATCTTGGTTTCCCTCTCACATAAACTCGAAAGCCTATGGAGAAATTTCAATACATTGTTGACCATGTGAAGTCTAAGCTATCTGCTTGGAAGGCCAACTGTCTGTCTATTGCTGGCAGAATCATGCTAGCAAAGCCAGTCTTAAGCTCTATCCCAGTCCACCTGATGCACGTAGCAAGAGTGCCGAATAGCATTTGTAATGAGGTTGAAAAACTTCAGAGCAATTTTATCTGGGGATACTGATCATTTCATCCTATTGGGTGGGACAGAATTACTCTCCCAGAGAATTATGGAGGTCTTGGCTTCAAGAGGTTTGACTCCTTCAACCGGGCTTGTGGGCCAAGTTGACATGAAATCTTGTGAGCGGAGCCAAAGGATTATGGGCAGAAATCTTAACCCAGAAATACCTTCTCAGAGATGAGGAAGAACTTCTTAAAGCAAAGAAGGGTGATTCGGCAGTGTGGCATTTTATATGTCAACAAAAGGATATTGTAGTACAAGGATAGAAATGGAAGATTCGAAATGGGACGCATGTCAGCTTCTTTAATGATAGGTGGCTACTTGAAGAGGGCACATTGAAGGATATGTGTACTAGAGTTCTTACTGGGGAGGAAGAAAAGAGCAAGGCTGCAAATTGGACATCTTATGGTTCATGGGACTTTATTAAACTATCTCAAATACTACCCACAGAAATTTTACAGAAGCTTATTTCTATGTTACCACCTCAAAAGCGTGTTGGGTACGATATTATGACGTGGGGTGCTAGTACTAATGGAAACTTCACTATCAAAAGTGCTTGCTCGCTTATTGAGAAATGTCCTGAACAACTCTATGACCCACTTTACAAATGGATTTTGAGATGGAAAGGTGCTGAACGAATCCGAGTTTTTATTTTGAAAGGCTTGAAGTTAGCTTGGATATGGGATTCAAAAAAGTGTTACTAGAATCAGATGCCAAGGAGTTCGTTGATAACATAAATGTTGATTCTATGGATGGTAATGGCAGTCTCATTAGGCTGCAGATTCTGTCTCTTCTGGAATGTGAATGGGAGGTTCGGGTGATGCATGTTCCAACAGTGCTAAACCGTGCAGCTGATAGGCTTGCGAAAGAGGGTCTCAACTCCTCTGCTATGCTGGATATGGTCCCTCATTTTGTAAGGGAAATTGTCGATGCTGAGCATTTGGGATCTCAATCCCATCCTATTTAATTTCTGTCGGGCTTGCCCTCTTTTGTATAAAAAAAAACGTTTGTCATTGCGATTCTGAAAATGATACTATTCGTCAGCCACTCCTTTTAAAACTTAGTTTGAACTTCAAAACCATGGTTTTCAACCTTCAAACATTTTTCCAAACAAGCATGTAAACGTAGAGATCTAACTGATCAATAGCATGTCGAAATAGCGTACATACAACAGACAACAAAAGTTCTCATTCTAAGATTATATTACAATGTTTTTCACCTATTTAAAAGACTTCGTTTTCAAGCATGTTGGGCACATGTCATGACCTAGAAATTGATGAACGTCAGTTTAACGATTTACCTTACTCTATGTGATAGGTACTATGAGCGGAACCGCAGCACTATTGCTAATGTGTTTTGCTAATTTTTTTTTTTTTGTGCGGTTGTACAATCAAATCACGAAGGGAAAATGCTGATCAAAATATTGAGGCCTTCATTAGAAATCAAGGAGCTCTGGCCATCACAAGATATAAATCTACTGTTATCAAGAAAATCACGAATTCTTTTACAGAGAAATTGGGACAAGGTGTTTATGGTGCTGTATAAAAAGGAAAACTGATCAATGATCGCCCTGTCGCTGTAAAGGTATTGAAGCCATCCAAAGGAGACGGGCAAGAATTTATCAATGAGGTTGCTAGCATGAGTAGACGAACTTGCCATATTAATGTTGTTACGCTTCTTGGTTTTTGTTTAAAAGGTCAGAGAAGGCTCTCATATATGAATTTATGTCTAATGGATCTCTTGACAAGTTCATTCACAATATCCTGTATTTTAGGATATTTAATAGCCTCTAACAATATTTGATAAAGTATGTCCTATCGGCAAAAATTATACACAAACCCTCATCCTAACGTGTTTTGCTGCTACTGCTTTTTTTTTTTTTTTTTTTTTTTTTTAAAAAATTCAAAAACAAGTGGAGTTTGCTGCTCATGCAGAGATCGCAGTAAGCCACACGATTTCTGGTGTATGAATAAAAAGCATTTATATAAAAAAATTAAGAAAAATGATAATAAAATTTTTTCAAATTATATAACTGACAATTTGATTTTTTCAAATATTATAATTCTATTGAAGTTTTCAGAGACTTTTATATCAATAAATTTTAAAATAAAACGATCATTTTACCTTTATTGAAAATAAAAGTCTTATAAGTTAGAACATATTCATGTGCATTCACAATTTTTGTTTAAGGAATAATTTTTATTTTAAAAAATTACAAAAATTAAACAAGAAAGTATAATTTTTATTATTAAAAAATAAATTCTCAAACTAACAAGCTTTAATCACAATTTTTGCATGAGTAATAAAAATTTTTATTTTGTGAATTACAAGAGTTAAATAAAAATTACAACTTATCAATTATAATTTTTATTATTAAAAAATAAGTTCTCAAAATAACAAACTTCAATCACAATTTTTATACAAGGAATAACAATGTTTATATATCAAGAGTTAAATAAGAAATTACATCTTATCAAGTTATTATTAAAAAAATAAGTTTTTAAAATAACATGTCTCAATCACAAACTCTTTTTTAAAGAATAACAATTTTTATTTAACGAATCGCAATAATTGAAGAAGAAATTATAACTTATCAATAAGAGTAAAATAATATTTTTAATTGAAAATTTATTGATATAGAAGTCTACAGTATTTTAGTGAAATTATGGCATTTTGAGATATTATTATTATTTATATAATTTGTGAAAATTTTATCATTATTTTCCCATAAAATTAAATGCTCAATAAAAATGCGGCTTCCTCGGTGAGAAAAATTGAACCGTCTTGGTCCCAGGCCACTCACTGAATAAATAAAAATAATCAACAAACTGTTTTGAATTTTCATTTTAAGGTAAACAAAAAGTCGAAAAAACTTGGTCAAGGCTGCGAAATGATGTTCGGTGGCAATTGGGCTCATATAAAACTCATAACATTAAAATAATAATAAGAACAGTCTTAGAATGAACATTTCATTTCGAATATATTATTCATATTATTCATGATCCGCCGCAGTTGTGGAATTAATGCGAGGTGAAAAACAGTGTCGCTGCCCCCATTCATCCAGCTAATCAAACCCATCGAGATCAAGCTTCACCGACTTTGAAGGGTGCTTGTGTTTAGTATGAGTTATGACTTCGATTCATGTGGCCCTGTGAAGCCAACTACTAAACGCCTCAACCGAAAACAACTGAAGCCCAAAATGTTGCGCCACCAACATAAAAAGAGAAGCCCAATTTAGAACCCTGTTCAGAAGGCCAAAAACCCCTGTTTGAAACAAAAAAAACAATTGTGGGTTGCATAAAAGAAAAACAATCGTTGGTGAGAAAACGACCATATTTTAGTATTTCTCAAATCGATTAATGAACAAGTTTCATATTTATATGAA